GTTCCTCTTCTGGGTTCTCGAACTCCGTACTTAAGAGGAGCATGATGTAGGTGGCCCCACCGGTATGGCGGCCACCTAGGTTAACACCGAGATTGATCACTGGTGGGGGAAGTTTCGTGGCTATGGTCCGCGCGAAGCCTCCCAAGCCTCGCTGCAAGGCTGCAGCTTGTTGGGAGGGCGTCATGTTGCCTGTGGTCACGTTGACCATGGCATGCACCTAGCGAGCGAATTCTCGGAAAGGTACTTGACATGACGGGTACCAATGGGGGCCGGTCGTTATTGCGCCGTGTCCGCCACGCATATGTCCTACCGCACGCCCGATAGCGAACCATGCGAGCCCAAATGGAATAATACCAATCCAATGGCCTCGCAGATCGTGGTCGGAAGTAGTCGGTTGGGGTCTTCGGTATGTGGTCGTAAGCCTGCGTGGGGGTGGAGGCGGCACAGTGTCGTATCGCATGTTTCCATACAGCATGTCTTCGAAGAAGCTTCCACTTGGAGTAGGTGGGTGGACTTCAGGAGTGTAGACGCAGGTGCGAGGCCTCCGGGTAGGCAGAGGTGTCACTGCAAGTGTCCTTGCTATGTTGCGTAGCTACATACAATCTTCCGCGCAAGCCCACTGCACCCTGATACTCCACCACGTCTGTAGTCCACCAGACAGCGCCGTGGATGGTGAGGAGTAGAACTAGATCTCACCACCATAGGCCAGCTCCGCTACCAAATTTGAAAAGGGGTTGGGAGGCCCAACCAGCAGCTTCGCCTCAGGCGAATCCCAAATCCCGCTCTGTTGTACCGTAGTAACGATAGTCCCATTAGTAGGGGCGAGCCATCAAACAGTTTTGGCATCGATGGCAAATGGTACACTTCGCGCTGAGGTGTAGTTAGATCTGGGCGGCCGGCCGCTTTGAGCCAAGCGGTCGCGGATGCACGCTCGTTCCCACTCACGTGCAACACCCAGCTCACTTTAGAGTAAACCTGTCCCTGGTGCCAAGTTCGAAGAGGGCCCGCAAATCTAATCTGCGATAGATAACTAGGTCGAAGAGGGCCGGCCAATGAAAATTTGCGGATGTCCCGACCGAAACGCTTGTCTTGCATAAGCAATTGAGAATGTCTCAAGCGAAACGCTTGTTTGTCTCCTGGAGGCAAGAATTGAGAGGATGTCTCAGGTGAAGTGCTTGTTTTACATATGTTCTGCATTGGGACGAACGCCCCAGGGCGGGACAAACATGAAAGTACAGCGTTCCTAACGCCCCAAGGCGGGAGAAACGTGAAAACACATGGGTTGCTAACGCCCCATGGCGGAACAAACGTGAAAACATGTGGGTTCCTTAACGTCCCAGGGCGGGAGATGCGTGAAAACACCAGGTTCCTGACGCCTCAGGGCGGGAGGAACGCAAAAACACATAGGTTCCTAACGTCCCAGGGCGGACTAAACGTGAAAACATATGGTTCCTAAACGCCCACGGCGGGAGAAATGTGAAAACATATGGTTCCAAATGCCCCAGGGCGGGACAACACACACACACATCTACATATATATATATATATATATATGTGCGTATGTGTATATATATGTATATATATATATATACAAGTGGCACGTGTGTGCCCAGGCTCATACAAACAACTGAAGGAGCGTTTGAAGCAGGAGTGAAATGCAACAGCGAAGTCGCACTCGAGCGCAAGTGGGGTTGCCACACCTTGCGATGTGTATGCCAGGGCCCCCCAGGAACCCTCAGGAGCCCGACTTGGATACCAGAAGAGGCTCCAGGAGGCCCCAGGATTGTGAGTGTTGTGTGTGTGTGGGTGTGTGTGTGATGTGTGCTCTGTGTTGTGCGTGTTTTTTGTGCGTTGTAGGTGGTGTGTGTGTGTTATGTTTGTCTAGCGTGTGATGTGTTGGGCGTGATATGTGTCTCTGTGTGTGCATGTAGTTCTGAGGCCCCCGGAGGCCCCAGGCGGCCTCAGGAGGCCCCAGAAGACCCCAGGAGGCTTCAGGAGGCCCCAGGAGGCCTTAGGAAGCCGCAGGAGGCCCCAGGAGGTTTCAAGAGACCCCCAGGAGGCTCCGAGGCGGGGTCTGGGGTACCAGAAGGTTCAGAAAGCACCAGGAGGCCCCAGGAGGTTCCAGGAGGCCCCCAGGAGGCTCCGAGGCGGGGTCTGGGGTACCAGAGGGTACGTCGGGGCTCGATGTTGATAAGATGTTTCAGGCGAAACCGCCATTCTCTGAGAATCGGGTCAAAATTATTGAAGTTACCATGTGTTGTTGAAGGTGTTATGCTAACATGTTGAAATTCCCATGTGTTTTTGGACCCTGACGCCACAATCTGCGTGAGGGGTGCCACCGATGTTCAGAATGTCGAAGATGTCCCTAGCGAAACGGCCAGAAACATCGCGAACGCCCCGCGTACGCATCAATCGCCTCTGAGCTCTACTCCCTCGGAGAGTGTATATATATATATATATATATATATATAGATGTGTGTATATATATATATATATATATATGATCCTGAACTCCCCAGGGCAGGACAAACGTGAAAACACATCGGTTCCTAACGCCCCAAGGAAGGACAAGCGTGAAAACACATGGGTCCCTAACGCCCCAGGGCGGGACAAGCGTGAAAACATGTGGGTTCCTAAACGCCCCAGGGCGGGATAAGCGTGAAAACATATGGTTCCCAACGCCCCAGGGCGGGACAAGCGTGAAAACATATGGTTCCTAACGCCCCGGGGCTAAACAAAACGCAAAAACATATGGTTCCTAGCGTCTCAGGAAGCTCCAGGAGGACTCCAAGAGGTTTCAGGAGGCTCCAGGAGGCATTGTTCTGTACTGGGGTTTGTGTTCGGGTGGCGCGTCTCGACCCCCCCCCGCCCCCAGCAGACCCCAGGAGGCAATGCCCTGGATTGGGAAATCTGTTCGGGGAGCGTCTTTCGCTCCCCCCCGCCCCCCAAGAGGCCACAGGAAGCTAGAAACATGTGAAAACACATCGGTCCCTAACGCCCCAGGGCGGGACAAGCGTGAAAACACATGGCGCGTCCCTTGGGACGTTCCGCTGCGCGTCCTCCTAGCATGTCCCCCTGTCAATTCGCTCTGGGGCAGCTACTACGTGCTCAGGCAGCTCGAGCTAAAGATCCAAACAGCTCAGTCAGGACTCGGATGCAAGACGCTATAAAGCACAATCGCGGCATGGCAAAACGCAGCTCCGCAAGGCCCAGCACAGCACAGCCTGCGACACGGTACCTTGAGACCGATACACTCAGCATTGCCTTTGCCCGTCGCCCAATCAGGTGTCTTTGAAACTCTGTCATGCCTGAAATTTCTAGATTCGTTTCCGGGTTTGTGGCTCGACCCTGTTTCCAAAACCAGATGGTTTCGCAACCGGGATGTTCAAAAACACCGGAGCTCCAACTCAGACGTAGTCACAAGAAAACCATTGGTCTTTCAACAATCCATGCAATGCTGCCAAACGGGCCTCCCGCGCGCGCATGTCGAAATCGTTCGAACGCGCTTGCGCGCGTGCCGTCACAAGAATCCTTTGCAGCATATGCGACAAAATGCACACGCGCGCGTCGTCGCGCGCGCATGCCAAAATCGATTAAACTGAAGGTTTCGTAAGAATGTCAAAATCGAGTGCCCCGAACAATTGTTTTTATGAACCTTTGACTTTGCAACAACGGTTTTCAAACAACAACGACTGCGCGCGCGCTCTTGCGAACTCTGAAGGACACCGCCGTTGCTTTCAACATTGCCACCAATTTTTGCCAAGCGGGCCTTTCGCGCCGCATGCCGAACTCGTCCGTGCTGGGGCACGGGGGCACGATCCGTGTCAACCAATACCACGCGGGCCACCCGCGCGCGTCGGCCGCGCGCGCATGTCGAACTCCTTCCAGGACCTTCATCACCGACGCGATGACATCGTCATCGTTGTCGGCGGGCGTGATCAACATCGCGGCCGTCATTGGCCTTGCCGTCGTTCTCGCCAGCATCGCCACCATCGTCGCTCCCCTCATCATCGTGTCTAGCGTTGTCAGCGTCGCCATGGTACCGCGCCCGCCCAAGTCACCGACCCGCACCGACCCGCACTAAAGTGTCCGTTAGAAAGTGCCTAGCAGTCAGCGCCAACGCAGCCGCGTCGGTCGCGCAGCACTAGATGGCCGCATCGCGCGCGCGAGCATGCGCGGGCTAGCGCGGCCGCAGGGATGCACCAGCCAACGCCAAGCACTCGTCGCTATCGCCGCCGCATGGGTGTTGCAAACCAAAATGCGGGTGGGTGCGTGCGATGATTGCGCTAGCAGTGGAGTTGACAACTCAATGCGAGCATGGTGAATTTCACCACATCGCTTGCACCACATAGGGTGCACTAGCCTTCTTGCACCACATAGCTTAGATCCCATGGTTGCACCACATAGCTTGCACAACCAAAGTGCAATAACCAACTGGTAGGGGCACGCGCTGGCTAACATTTGAATCAAGAAACATATACACACATCCTGGTCAGTCCTAGCCCACCCCAACCTATCATAGGCCAACTGTTCCTTGCCTTTCCTCATGACCCACTCTGACACATCGCAATCCGGCCTGGCCCAAACTGACCTATCCTCGTCCATCCCGACACTTCCTGGACCGTCCCAACTAGCACGTTCCAATTCCGGCACACCATGGCACCATGGAACAAAGAGCAGAGCAAACACATCAACTATATGCAACACGCGTCGGCCCTGAACTTCCACTAACATCCGTCCACAACGGATGGGCGGCGGAGCGGCGCAGGCCGCTTGAACTAGGATGCAGAAAACAAGACATCGTTCTCATCGGCGTTGGTGTGATTGTTACGTCGCCTGCTTCGCGTCGTGGTCTCCCAACGGTCCTCCATCGTGTCCACGAACATTCCGACAACGTCGGATCCTGAAAATGTTTGGTCATCTTCCACCTCTTCTTCCCTCTCGGTACGGCCACTACCCGTCCCAAGCGTCGGAAGGGGCGTGGCGTGGCGGGGCAGCACTGAGTGTCTGCGAACCCATGCTTGACAATCACCTCCGGGCGAGGGGAGAACGGGGATCGAGAGGCTCAGGGGCGGTGGAGGGCGGGGACGACGACAGGAATGGAAAGAGAATTGGGGAAGGGGTGAGCAGGCGAAAGGCAGGAGGATGGAAAGCAGAGTGGAGAAAAGCAAGAAGAGAAGAGGAAGGGCAAAAGCGAGAGGTATATGAAGGGTAACCAAACGGGAAAATGGAATATGAGTGGGAGGAGGGAAGAGGAGTGGGAGGAGGAAAAGAAAGCGGAAAAGGACGGGGAAGAGCATGAGGGATTCTGGAAAATAAGTATGAGGAGTGAACGTGGAGGATCACAAGGTGGGAGGGATGAGGATCGAGCGGGAAAGCGTGGAGTCCAAGGAAAAACGTCCTCCTTGCTTTTCCTCCTCTGGCTCCCCCTCGTTTCCTCCGTTCCCGCCATTTCCTCTCTTCCACCATTCGCCTCTCCAGGATTGAACCCATGGTTATGGGCAGCAGCCCAGTTCTGGGTATAGATCACCGGGGGCCTTGGCTACCCTAGGCCCTACCCAAGGCCCTAGGCTTCCCAAGGGTAGGCCCTACCCAAGGCCCTAGGCTTCCCAAGGGTAGGCCCTACCCAAGGCCCTAGGCTTCCCAAGGGTAGGCACTACCCAAGGCCCTAGGCTTCCCAAGGGGTAGCCCTAGGGTAGCTCTAGGGGTTGGCGCCAGGGGTAGCCCCAGGGTAGCCCTAGGGGTAGGCCCTAGGGATAACCTTTTATTTCGGATTACAATATGATTCCTTTGGTCGGGCGACCGCGGCCCCGGCGCCGCAGACCCCCCCTCGCAGACCCCCCCTCTGGGACCCCCCCTCGCTGACCTCCCCTCGCAGACCCCCCCTCACAGACCCCCCCATCGCTGACCCCCCCTCGCAGACCCCCCCTCGCAGAACCCCCCTCTGGGACCCCCCCTCGCTGACCCCCCCTCTGGGACCCCCCTCACAGACCCCCCCTCGCTGACCCCCCCTCGCAGACCCCCCCTCTGGGACCCCCCTCGGGCCCCTCCTGACCCTCGCTGACCCCCCCTCGCAGACCCCCCCTCGCAGCTGGGACCCCCCCTCGCTGACCCCCCCTCTGGGACCCCCCCTCGCAGACCCCCCCTCGCTGACCCCCCCTCAGCAAGACCCCCCCTCGCTGACCCCCCCCGCTGACCCCCCCTCGCTGACCCCCCCTCGCGGGACCCCCCCTCGCTGACCCCCCCTCTGGGACCCCCCCTCGCTGACCCCCCCTCTGGGACCCCCCTCCTGGAGACCCCCCCTAACTCGGCCCCCGCCTCGCTGACCCCCCCTCGCTGCCCCCCCTCCGACTCCCCCTGCTACCCCCCCCTCTCGGCAGAGACCCCCCCATCCCAACCCATACCCCCCTCTGGACCACCCACAGACCCCCCCTCGCTGACCCCCCTCACAGACCCGACCACCTGACCATCCCTCGCAGACCCCCCCTCGCTGACCCCTCCTCCCCCCTCTGGGACCCCCACCCTCGCTGACCTCCCTTGGACCCCCTCGCAACCCCCCTCTGGACCCCCCTCACAGACCCCCCCGCTGACCCCCCTCTGGACCCCCCTCACAGACCCCCCCTCGCTTTTGGACACCCCGCTGACCCCCCTCTGGGACCCCCCCTCGCTGACCCCCCCTCGCAGACCCCCCCTCGACCCCCCCTCTGGGACCCCCCCTCGCTGACCCCCCCATCGCTGACCCCCCCTCGCAGCTCGCAGACCCCCCCTCCCCCCCCTGACCCCCCCTCTGGGACCCCCCTCACAGACCCCCCCTCGCTGCAGACCCCCCCTCGCTGAGACCCCCCTCGCTGACCCCCCTCTGAACTCCCCTCGCTGACCCCCCCCCCCCTCGCTGACCCCCCCCTCTGGAACCCCCCTCACACCCCCCCTCCTCGCTTGACCCCCCCCTCGCAGAACCCCACCTCACAGACCCCCCCCTCTGGGCCCCTCTCGCTGACCCCCCTCGCTGCACCCCCCCTCGCTGAACCCCCCCCTCAGACCCCCCTCTGGGACCCCCCTCGCTGACCCCCCTCTGGGACCCCCCTCACAGACCCCCCCTCGCTGCTGACCCCCCCTTCGCAACCCCTTCTCGCTGACCCCCCCCTCGCTGACCCCCCCTCTGGGCCCCCCCTCACAAAGCCCCCCCCTCGCTGACCCCCCTCGCAGACCCCCCTCGTGACACCCCCCTCGCTGACCCCCCTCTCTCATCGCTGACCCCCCCTTTGACGCACCCCCCATCGCTGCTGACACCCCCTCGCTGACCCCCCCCTCCCCCTCCTGACCCCCTCCTGACCCCCCCTCGCTGCCTCCCCTCTGACCCTCCTCACAGACCCCCCTCGCTGACACCCCCCCTCGCTGACCCCCCCCTCTCTGACCCCCCCTCGCAGACCCCCCCTCGCAGACCCCCCCTCTGGGACCCCCCCTCTGGGACCCCCCCTCTGGGACCCCCCTCACAGACCCCCCCTCTGACAGACCCCCCCTCGCTGACCCCCCCTCGCTCTCGCTGACCCCCCCTCTGAGCGGATTACATGTTGATTCCCCTTGGTAGCGGATTACAACTTGATGCCTTTAGTCGGGCGGGCGGGCGGGACATTAAAGGCATTGATTGCTTGCTTGTGTGGTGGATTACCAATTGCTTCCCGTTGGTACCGGATTACGAGTAGATTCCAGTTGTGGCGGATTACAAGCTGATTCCTTTTGTCGGGCGGGCGGGCGGGACATTAAAGGCATTGATTGCTTGTGTGGCGGATGGCAAACTGATTCTTATTGTGGCAGATTACACATTGATTCCTTTTGTCTGGCGGGCGGGCGGGACATTAAAGGCAATGATTGCTTGTTTGGTGAATTGCGAATGGATTCCCTTTGGCAGCGGATTTTAAGCTTATTCCTTTGGTCGGGCGCCTTTTGCCTGGCGGGCGGGCGGGACATTGAAGGCGATAATTGCTTGTGTGGTGAATTACAAATGGATCCCCTTTGGCAGCGGATTGCAACCTTATTCCTTTGGTCGGGCGGGCGGGCGGGACATTGAATGCATTGATTACTTTCGTGGCGGATTACAAAGTGATTCCATTTGGCAGCGGATTGCAAGTTGATTACCATTATGGCGGATTACAAGCTGATTCCTTTTGTCGGGCGGGCGGGCGGGACATTAAAGGCATTGCTTGCTTGTGTGGCGGATTACACAGACTGAAGGCCCTAGGCTTCCCAAGGATAGGCCCTACTGGACACCCTAGGGTAGCCCTAGGATACCCCTAGGGGTAGGCCCCAGAGGTAGCCCTAGGGTAGCCCTAGGGGTAGGCCCTAGGGTAGCACTAGGGTAGCCCTAGGGGTAGGCCCTAAGGGTAGCCCAAGGGTAGCCCTAGGGGTAGGCCCTAGGGGTAGCCCCAGGGTAGCCCTAGGGGTAGGCCCTAGGGTAGCCCTAGGGGTAGGCCCTAGGGGTAGGCCCTAGGGTAGCCCTAGGGTAGCCCTAGGGGTAGGCCCTAGGGGTAGCCCTAGGGTAGCCCTTCCTTGGGTGATCTATAAGCAGTTCTGCTCCATACTTCAGCTGCAGTCGCACCAGGAGGCCAACGGTCTTACCACAACGTAGCACGTGTATAGATATCTGTACATATAGACATTGAGAGAGAGAGAGAGAGAGAAAAAAAGAAAGAGAGAGAGAGAGAGAGAGAGAGATGTGTGAATTGTCTCGCGAGTCGAGGAAGGTGTGCGAAAACATCCAAACGGGCGCATCCTGACGACCAGGAACAAGTATGTCAAAGGCAATTGCGGACATTGTGGTGTTTCGGTAAGGTGGCGTGGTAACGGCGGACGACGAAATCTACAACCCAGGTCTAATGTATGCAGCCAGCACGCTGGAACTCACATTGTCATATAAGAAGAATCTGCGCGTTCGTATGATGTGTGTAGTCGTGTGCAGCGCTTCGGTCTTAACTTGCGATATCCTGCTCGAAAGAAGCGTCTCGATTGGACCTTGATAATATGTGTCCTCTTATGCTTCGTCACCGGCCAAGAAAAACACAAGCCTACAGTATCTCAATGTCGCATCATGTGTATATGCTCTTCTCGGTGGCCTTCACCGCCACAAACATCAGGCGTCAGAGTGCCATGCAGCCTGTCTCCAAGAGGCTGCAATTAGTTCGTCGGCCGCGACATACTTGGTGGGGCTGCTGGTGAGCATGTCCTTGGTTTGTCTCGCACCAGAAGATGTGCTGGACCTTGTGGACCATCATTTCCTCGCGCGCAGTCCGCCATCGAGAAGTTGGACTGGCCCAAGATCATTCGGACCCTCTGCTGTGAGTAATTGAAAATTGAGATGGCTGGACCGCTGATTGTCCGATTGTTTTGGGTGCGGCGCACGCCTCCGCGCGATGGCGCGATTTCCCGCCAATCTCTCTGGATGCCCCAGGGTAGTAGAACGAGGCAAGCGCGCGGGCTCCAGGAGGCCCGCGAGACGGTCCAAAACAGAAGACGCTCGGAAATCTAAAAATTGCCGCGAGACGGCCCACAGGGCCCTTGGACGGGATGTCCACGCGCGCTGCAGGGGGAAGGAGAGCACCCAGGGAAGCACGTAGCACCGCGACCTGCGTCGTGGTGCACTTCGTCTCGCTGGAGGTGCCGTGGGTAAGCCCAGGACGCGCGTCTCGAACATCCAGCTGCCTTGCCCAGACCGAATGCCATGACCTTGCTGTTGGCGTCTGGCATGGGTACGTCCAGGGAGCGCGCGCATCCTATACACGTTCCAAACGCAAGCCCTGGGAGAGTGCGCCACCCGCGCCCCGCTCCTTCACGCGCCAGTTGTCGCGTTCTGTCTCGCCGGCGATGGCGAGTCGATGCTGCGCACTGGCGTCGGCAGCCCTTCCCGCGCGACTGGCCCCACCAATGCTGGCGACGGGCCCTCGCGAATCGGCAATGCACGGCGCGTGCGCGCGCAGGCCTCCGCGAGGTCGACAAAATCGGAGGTCCTCTTCCCGATGAAGATGAGGCATGTGTGGC